CGACATCGCCCGCGCGCGCGCGCGGACGAGGACTCGCGGCGACGGCGCGCGCGCGGGCGCGGGCGATGGACCCCCTGTCGAGTCACGACCCACGGATCGAGGGACTCGGTGGTCGTGTCACCAAACCCCATACGCGTGTCCCGTGACGTGGGGTTCACACACGCGTCCGTCGCTCGGTCGGTGTCGATCGTCGATCGGGGTCGGCGGACTCGTATTGAGCGCGCGTGACGCCCGTGTGACGATCGCCGGCGGCTCCGACGGCGCCGCCGCCACACCCACGCGCGATGCCGAAGGCGACCAAGGCGAGCGAACGCGCGGTGGAGGAGATCGTGAACGACGACGGGGCGATCGAGATCGACCACGCGAGCGCGCTGCGACCGACGCGCGCGCCGCTGGGTGCGAGCGAGGACGTCGTGCGAGGGAAAGCGGCGGCGTATCGAAAGGTGAACGTCCCGGCGCATCGCTTCGCGCCGTTGCGAGAGCAGTGGATGACGCTGTACGAACCGGTGACGAAACAGATGAAGATTGATATGCGGATGAATCTCAAGCTGCGAAAGGTGGAGCTGAAGACGACGGCGAAGACGGAGGATGAGAGCGCGCTGCAGAAGAGCGCGGATTTCGTGCAGGCGTTTCTGTTGGGATTCGACGTCCAAGACGCGGTGGCGCTGTTGCGGTTGGACGATTTGTATCTCGAGTGTTTTGAGGTGAAGGATGTGAAGACGCTGCGAGGGGAGCACATGTCGCGAGGGATCGGGCGATTGGCGGGGAAGAATGGAAAGACAAAGTTTACGATTGAAAACGCGACGCGGACGAGAATCGTCATCGCCGATCAACACATTCGGATTCTCGGTTCGTTTCAAAACATCAAGGTCGCCAGGGACGCTTTGTGTTCCCTCATCTTGGGTTCACCTCCCGGGAAGGTGTACTCGCGTCTTCGCGCGGTCACCGCGCGGCTCGCCGAGCGCTTTTAGTCCGCGCTCGGGCGCGGCTTCTCTAGCCTCACCGCCGCGCCCACGCGCGCGCACGTAGTTTACATCCACTTCTCTAGCCCATCGCGCGCGGCGCACCGTCCGTGGACGACCGCGCACCGTCGCGCGTTCGCCTCTCGCCTCTCGCGTCTCGTCTCCGTCCCGCGCTCGCGCTCGGGCTCGGCGCCGAATCCCCTGCCCGCGCGTCCCGCACTTCTCGACGCGCGGCTCGATGTTCGTCCGCGCCGCGCGCGCGCATCCGAGCTCGATCGCCCCCCGCGCGGGCGCCCCGTCGCCCCCGCGCGCGCGCCGCGTCGCCGCGTCGCGCCGCGGCGGCGCCCGAGCGGTCGCGACGCGATCGAGCTCGGACACCGCCGACGACGCCGCGCGCGTCGCCGACGGCGAACCGGCGAACTGGAAGTACACCTATCTCTACGACGGCGCGTGCCCGGTGTGCCAAACGCTCAAGTCGGCGCTGGAAGGGACGGGCAAGGGAGAGGGACGGGTGTGGTACGTGGACATTTCGGATCCGGCGTACGACGCGAACGCGCATCAAGGGGTGACGTTCGCGGAGGCCATGGATACGATTCACGTGCTGAAGCGAGATGGATCGGAACCGTTGAGAGGGTTGCCGGCGATCGAGGCGCTGTTCAGCGAGGTTGGGTTAGGGTGGGCGGTGCGGTTGGCGACGATGCCGGCGATCGGTTTGGCGGCGAGCGTCATCTATAAACTCATCTCGAGTAATCGGTTGAAGATCGGCGGCGCGATGGGTGCTGGGATGATGGCGCTCGGTCGAGTTGGGATGGAGATTCGAGGCGAGAAGGCGTCGTGCGCCGAAGGGGACGAGTGCCGAGGGATCGCGACGCTCGAGGTGGACAAGGACTCGCAGGGAGTCGAGGAGGACAGCGGCATGTTCGAATCCGTGTACTCCGAGGGTCCGAGGGCTATTTTGGGCGCGTACGCGAGTGGTGGTATCGTTAGCGCCGCCATCGTGAACGTGCGAACGGGAGAACTCGAGTCCGAACTCATCACCGCCCCGCTCGAGGAGGGCGCGCTTTTGAACATCGCGAAGGTCGGCGAAGCGCTTCGCTCACTCACCAAGGAATTGAAGTGGCAGGGCGCGGTCTCGGTCGCGCTCCCAGGTGTGTGGCACGCCGATGAGAAGATGGGCGGAATCAGTGTCTACGCCGCTATGGAATCATTAAACCCACTCGACATGCGTCGCGACCGCGAAGAAACCGAAGAGTTGTTACGCATGTCTGTTGGATTGGACGTCACCGTCGTCACGGGCGCCGAGGCACACGGTTACGGTCACCAAGACTTGTGGGGAGAGGCCGCGCGCCGAATCAAGATCGGCACGACTCTGGACAGCGAGGATCCGGACAACGCGATGAGCGGTTTGACGGGCGTCGTGACCGCGGGTCACGAAGCCATTCACGTTGCGTTGTTTAAAGATGGCGTTCTTCGTACGAACGCCGACTTCAGAGAGGCTGATCTCGCGATTTCTTGGATCGAACCCGAGTGGGAGAACGCGAAACCCCCCTCCGCCGATTGCGAGGACGAAGAACAATGGCGAGCCTGGGCGACCAGAATCGCGGTGCACCTCGCCAAGGTTGAAAACTGCCGCTGCGCCCGCGGCGGCTTGGAGAGATGGGTCGTGAGCGGCAGCGTCGCTCAAAACTTTGATAAGTGGGCACATCTCATTCCCAAGCTGAGCGTCGTGCGGGCCGGTAGGCAGGCTGCTCCGCTCGTCAAGGGCGGTTCGAACTCGGTGGAGGGCGTTCGCGGCGCCGCCGCCGGCGGCTCGTTCCGCTTTAGATATATGTCGGATATTCGACGCGTGCGCGCCGCAATTGGAAAAGAAATCGGACGATCGCCGCAGCTCGTCACCGGTATTCAGCTTCGAGAGCTCTTCACCAAGTTTGGCGGCGACATTAACGACGACGCCATCGACTTGGACGCCTTCGTTCGCATGGTCGGAGCCATGGGCGTGCGCCTCCCAGAGGACGAGGTTCGTGAGCTCGTGTGCGACATTGACGTTCAATGCGAGTCATCGGTGACGTTCGATCAGTTCGAGACGTGGTACAGATCGGTGATCGGTACTGAGGTTGCCCAAGTGTTGCACACCGAATCCGCGGTTGACCAAGTTCTCGAGGAAGAGAAGGGCAGCGGACGTGCCGTGGTCTTGCAAGTTGGCTTCACCTCGTGCATGCCGTGCAAGAAATTTCTTCCTCACTTCGAACAGAGCGCGCGAGACAACAAGGAAAACTGCCGATACGTTCGCATCTACGGCAACGAAAATGCAAGCACCATTCACCTTGCTCGCGACCGTCTCGCCGTGAAGTCAACGCCATCATTTTTCATCTTCAAAGACGGCGTGGTCACCCATATGCATAGTGGGAGCAATCCGGAGAAGTTCGACGACGCCATCGCCGAACAAATCGGCGTCCTCCCGCGAGGCACCTTCGCCGCCAAGTGGAATCCGCCTGTGCCGAGCGAAGCCACCCTGACGTCGAAAGAGACGGCGTGATTCCACATCGAACCGCGCTTAATCGTTCGACTCCCGCCCGCTACACGCACGCCATCCACATTATTTTGTACACGCGCGTTGATTCATTGCAATGATCATCTCACGACGCCTATATCCGCTCGTCTCTCTCGCGCGCGCCTCGCGTCTATTTTAGCCGTCTCCAATCATGAATCGTCACTCGCTTCGCGTGATTTTGGTGTGTAAAGTCGTCGTCGCCTCAGCGCGCGACGCGTCGCGCACTCGCGTCTCCGCGCGAGAGCGTCGATTCCACATCAACGTGCATTCGCGCGACGGCGCGTGCGAACGCGACGCATCGCGCGACGGTCCTCGTCGACGTCGATCGCGCAAGAGAGATTTTCAAAAAGTTCGAAATTCGCACTCGGACAGTTTGAAGTCATGTCGAAGAATTTACACGTGCACGTGCGACCGCTTGGCGAACGATCGAATCGAGGTGCGCTTGGTGATCGATCGGAGACAGATGGAGGATGATGGGCTCGGAACGGCGCGGTGACGCGGGAGACGTCGTGATTGCGAGCGATGACTGACCGAGCGGCGAATCCGTCGATGCAAATAGGGAACGAGATCAGCGTCGCTTCGAAATTTCCGTCGAGTAAACTCAAGTTGGATGAGCTTTTTCTAAATTGGTTGTCCCTCCGGGAGAGCCAGGAGTTGGTGATGGAGCTGTTGCGGGAGGCGAAGGCTGGGAAGACGCTTCGGCAGCCCAAGTCGGCGACGGCTACAGCACACTCGCCGATGACGGCGTCGACGCCGCCGCGGAGTCCAAAGAAGGGCATGCGAGGATCTGGCGCGTTTTCTCCGTCGAGGCGCCCGCTGTCGAGGCAGACGTCGCTGTTCAACAATCGAGCGCCGGTTGAGAAACAAGCCATTCCAACATTTTACAAACCGGGAGGTGGCGGGCTGAGCGACGAGGCGAACGCCGGCAAGGTCGCACTCGCGGAGCGTTTATTCGAGAAGTTCCCGGCCGGGATGAATCTACAGCCGTTCTGTGACATTGTTCGCGACGTCATAGGGTTGCCGCGGTTCTTCGCACGACGAGTCATGAAGCTCGTTGCGGGCGCCAACGCAAACGTAGTCACCCGTGAGCAATGGTTTGGATACTGGAATTCGACCCTTCGCCGGCAGAAAGATGCGCATGCGGCGATGTTTGAAGTCTTGCGACGGCCGAACGCCCGCACGCTGGAGCATGCGGACTTTGTCGATGTGTTGATGGAGATGATGCAAACGCATCCGGGCCTGGAATTTTTGCAGCACACTCGAGAGTTCCAGGATAGATACGTCGAAACGGTGATTTATAGAATCTTTTACGCGTGCAACACAACATGGAACGGGCGAATGACGCTACGGGAGCTGAAGAAGTCTGATCTGTTGGAGCAAATGCTACTGGTAGAGGACGAAGAGGACATCAACCGCGTGCTCTCGTACTTTTCGTACGAGCACTTCTACGTTATCTACTGCAAGTTTTGGGAGCTCGACACCGATCACGACTTTTACATAGATCGGGAGGACCTTTTGCACTACGGTAACCACGCGTTGACGTATAGAATAGTTGCGAGAATTTTTGACCAGGCGGGGAAGCAATTCAAGTCGGAAAAGCCCGGGAAGATGTGCTATCAAGATTTTGTTTGGTTCATCCTGAGCGAGGAGCACAAGAGTCATCCCTCGGCGTTGGATTACTGGTTCAAATGCATTGACATCCATCACGACGGCGTGATCACGCGCGATGAGATCTTTTACTTCTACGAGGAGCAAATTCAGCGCATGGAGTGCCTGGCGCAGGAGCCCGTGCTCTTCGAGGATATTTTGTGCCAAATGATGGACATGATCAAGCCAGAGGTCGACGGGCGAGTCACTTTGCACGACTTGAAACGGAATAAAATGAGCGGGAACTTTTTCAATGTTCTCTTTAACATGAATAAGTTTATCGCTTTCGAGACGAGGGATCCGTTCCTCATGCGTCAAGAGCGAGAGGAGCCGCACTTGACGGAGTGGGACAGGTTCGCTCGAGGGGAGTACCTTCGTTTGTCCATGGAGGAAGACGAAGACATGGACACGAACAACGTCGTGAGCTGGGAAGAGTCTCCGATGTGATGACGATACTGTACGAGTTTGATATTTTGTAATAATAATCGCGAGAAACAAGAATTGAATAACAATAACGGTAGCGACTAGTCACGGCTCGATGACGTACATGCGCACCGTGAACAGCTCGGGCGGAAATCCAGTTTGCTTGCGATGCTCGACGCATCGCATGCCCGAACGCTCGATAATGTGCAGCAGATACTCGTGACAGCGCGTCACTGAGGAGTCCTCTAAGTCTAAAATGAACCCGCTCGACGCGTTGTTCTCCTTCATCACGATGCAGCCACCCTCGCGCAAACCATCTCTACACCGCCTCAGGAACGCGACGAGATCGTCATCGGTGAGATGTCCGATGCACCACTGAATCCAAATCACATCATACGCCCCCACTTCGGGCGTGAACGTCTCCAGAGGCTCTTCGAAGAACTCCCTCGCTCGGTGTCCGTCCGTCCGTCCCGTCCCCGTCACCGCCGGGTCCGCGCGCGCCGCGTCGAGAAAGTGTCCACACGGCTCCACCAGGTCCACTTCATCGAAATGATCGATCAAAAACGTCCCCGTCACCCGTCCAACCCCGGCACCGCAGTCCAACGCCCGCGTCTTCTCTCTCGTCGCTCCGCCGCCGTCCGCCTCTCGTCGCCCGCGCGCGTCTCTCAACAACACCGAATTATCTCGCGCGTCCAACGGCGACACCGCGCCGAACCCCCCGAGGACGCCCTCGACGTTCGCATCGACCCCGTCCCAGTACTCGATCCCTCGGGCGTACCACAGCGGTTTCCCGTCGTCGCGCGTGGCGCCTCTCGCGACGCGCCGCCAGAACTCGTCGTGCGCGCCGACGGGTCTCCCGAGGTCGTCCACGCCCAGAAACACCGTCGCGCCCGAGGTCGTGGACGCGGGCGCGCGCGCGGACATCTCGACGCGCGCGCGCGGGGCGCTCGGCGGCGTGAAGTGCGGAGCGGCGTCGGTTGGCATGGCGTCGCGCGCGCGGAATAGCGTCGCGCAGCTCGTCGTCGCGTGCGCGTTGACGGCGCTGCTCGGAGGATCGCTGCAGATACATAAACTCGCGTCGCTTGATTCGGCGGGACGGAGGTTCGGACGCGTGCGGACGTCGGCAAAGGTTGGATTTCTCGTCCCGTTCGCGCTGGCGAAGAGCGGAGCGAACGCGGGCGTCGGCGGCGTCGCGGATCGCCGAGGACGAAGACGGACGACGATCGTGGGGTGGTGCGTGGGATGCGTGGCACCGATTTTAGGATTTATCGCGGGCGGGGTGGAGGATGGATTGAGCGTCGTCACGGCGTCGGCGTTATTCTTGGGGTTCGCGCAAGGGACGGTTTGGACGGCGCTCGTGTTGGCGAGCGTCGATTTGTGCGGGAAGGCCAGGAGAGGGTTCGCTTCGGGGTTAAACGAGACGGTGGGGTACACCGCGATAGCGCTCTTCGCCGAGGTGTACGGGTCGATGGAGCGAAACTGGGTGAGGTGTGCGTGGAAGACGCAGAGTCGAAGCGCGGCGTGCGCGGCGAAAAATGTAGCCGGGACGTGCGCGACGGCGGACGATTGGGTCAAGCAGTGCGTCGGGGAGTGCGTGTGTGAGGGGTATATGCGCGGTCCGATGGGGGTGGAGCTCGCGATGTGTCTCATCGGCCTCGCTGTGGCGGTGTTTGTGTTCAAAGAAACGTCTCGTCTTTCGGATTCGGGAAGCGTCTTCGGCGGCGGTGGCTCGCATCCGTGGGCGAGCGAGATCCAGGAGGAGGACGAGGATGAGCTACGCGCAAACGAGGTAGAGAGTAGTGATGGGGGCACTATACGCGTAATCGCGGCGCCCAAAGAGAGTCTCAAGGATGCGATGATTCGAACGACGTGGCGGAACAAGAACACCGCCGTCGTGTGCGCTGCAGCGTTTTGCGCAAACTTCGAAACAGCCGTCGCTTGGGGGCTCATGTCGGTCTGGGCGCGCGACTCGCTCGGTCTTACCGGTCGTGAGCGTGACTTTTTCACAGCGTGTTATTCCTTCATGAAGGGTTTCACGCAAATCGCCGCTGGAACGCTGAGCGACACAATCGGCAGACGTCGACCCATAGCGTACGGCTTGATCGGAGGTTCTATCGCGCTGCTCATCGCTGCATTCGGCGCTGGATTCCATGGGAAGCTTTCGATCGGGAAAACGGGCGAGAGTGAGCTCAAATCGATGCAGCTCGCGTATTTGACACTCTCATCCACCACGCTCGGCGTGTGCACGGGAATGACGTATCCCGTCCTCGCGGCCGCCGCCGTGGACCACGCCCCGGACGCCCGGCACTATGCCTCGACGCTCGGCGTCGTTCGATTCTGGCGTGATTTAGGATACGTCATGGGCGTCCCCATAGCCGCCGTTGCGGACGCCGCGAGCGCTGAACTCGCCCTGATACTCGTCGCCGCCTTCATGGCAACCGCCGGGTACGCGGTGAACCGCGTGTACGAAGAAGCCATCCCGACCCTCGAGAACGCGTCGATCGACCCAAGATCGAGCGGATACGTGCACACGCCATCTGAGCCGACCGCGGGAGTCGACATAGAGTTGTCCTCCGCGTCTAACGGGTCATTGTAATGTAACGTACGCGACGCCGCCTCACAGCGCGACATGGTCCTCTTGGTGCTCTACGTCAAGGCGACGCTCGAGAACGTCGCCACGATCGAGTTCCCCTCGCCCGACTATCACTACTGCTTTGACGCCAAGGATTCCCTCAGCGACGACGTGCGCGAGGGCGTGTTCGCGTGCGAATCCGACGTCATCGACCTCGACAACTCCAGAGGCCAGGCCAACTTTGTGATCAAGTTTCCCGATTCAAAGAAACAAGCGAGCGTGGTGTTCGAGCACGTCAAGGGATTGACCACGAAGGGTGTGATACGTGCGTCGGAAGAGTGGACGCCGGTGATGGGATTCGAGTGCAGAGGGTTGGAGCTGGAGAAGTTTGTCCCGACGAAGGGCGTCACGATAACGAGCGCGAGCGGGACGGTTTGGAAGGATGTCGATCTGAGCGAAGATCCCGACGGATGGTACGAGTACTGCGAGAAGGGTGGAGACTCGGTCGGTGTCACCGATTTTGCGTTCGAGTTTCGTAAGCACAAGGCGTGATCGCGCGCGGTCACGAAACGCGGAGTTCGCTCGGCGACGATGTAGTACGAATCAAAAACTAGGCTATTCAGTGATGTCGCACGCTCTGCCCCGTCCCTCTGGGCACTAAGAACCGAATCGCCTTGTTAAACTTGACGAAGAAGAACATCCCGAGGAAGGCCAACACGGCGAAGAACATCAACGACATCAAATGTCCGCCCTTTGCCCGCTCGTACGCCGCGCCCAACTTTCTCCTCACGTCCCGCATCGCCGCGTCTCCCGAGCTAAAATCTATCGTCAGCGCATCGATCAGATCCCCTCGAATCGTCGCTTCCTCTCCGATCCGTCGCGACATGCTCTTCAGCTGTTTCACCTTGCTCCGCAGGCTCGCGACGTCGTCCTCCAAATCGAACCCGCTCGACGTCGTCGGCATGTCCATCGCGAACTCCCCGGGCGCGTTCGTCTGCGCGTTCGGTCTCGACGTTAATCCAGCGCCGTGCGCGGGCGCGTACGACGTCGCGCGCGGGTGCATCGTCGTCGTCGAGCTCGAGGAGATCGCGTTGACGATGCGCGCGAAATCGCACGCGGCGTCGACCGCTCGCTCGGCGTCGACCGCGGTGACGTGCGCGAGCGCGCGGACGGGGGCGCGGAGGTATCGTCCGCGATTGGTCCGCGCGCGCGTCGCGAGATGCGGACGTCGGGACGCGGGGTGGTGTGTTATTTTTTGGTTTCATTCAACGGTCCGAGTGGTTGATTTCGACCGTCGCGGGACGCGCGAGGCGAAGACGCTGCTAGGCGCGTCGACGCTTCGCGCCGTCGCCGCCGGAGGCGTACTCGTCCGGGACGTCGCTTGGGTCGTAATCATCGTCATCGTTCGCGTCGTCGCGGTCGAAATCGACGGGTTCGGGGAGGGCGGCGTCGCCGCCGGCTTCGATTTGAGATGCGACGTGCGCCGCCGCCGCCTTGGACGCCTTCTTACGAACCTTGAGCGCGCGAACGAGATCTTGCGTGAGATTTCCCACGTCCACGTTCGCTCGAGCTGTTTCGACGCGCGAGAGCGCCGCTCGGAGCTTCTTCTCGACGTCGTCCAAGATCTCGCCCAGAGCTTCTCCGGCGTCTCGCTTGTCCACGACGGCGCTTTCGTATCGCTGAATCGCACGCAGCGTCGCCGTTGGATCCTCGCTCGCGTCTATCGCGCTCTCATCTAGCAAATCATCTCGCGCGTCCGCGTCGTACACCTCGCACGCCCTCGCGAACTCGCGCTCAGCCTTTTCCATCTTCACCAAGACTTTCGTCAACGACGCGTTCTCGCCGCTCGGCGCCGGGGCCTCCGCGAGCTCACCTCTCGCTCGCTTCGCCGCCGGCACCGCGCTCGCGGCTTTCACCGCCCCACCGTCCTCTTTACCTCCATCCTTCCCGTCCACGACGTCCTTCACCCAGCTCTCCGGCTCGGCGCCTCCGAAGACTCTCCGCTCGCCCCACACGCGCGTCAACCTCAAAATCTTCTCCCTGCTCCCGCTCTCACCACTCTCCAGCACGTGTCGCACCGCCCCCGGAAGAATCGTCTTAAACGCATCCGTCCACTCCGCCCCTCGCTTCCTCGACGTCTGCGCCACGTCGCTCGCGAGGTACAGAAACGCCAATTTCCGTTCCCTCGGCGCCCGCTCGAGTTCATCCCTCCACGCGCGCGCGAGCTCACGCGCGCGCCGTCGATGAAACACGCACCAGTGCGAGAGCGTTTCGATCGACTGCTGCGTCGTCGACAGCGACGCGAGCTTGCGCGCGAACGCGTCCACGGGATCCGACGCCATGATCGCGTCGACGTCTCGCGCCGTCGTCACCTTTCACTCGCACGTGATCGACGCCTTTCGACGCCTTTCGAGATCCACCGCGGCACCGGTCGACGCCTTTCGACGACGACCGGTGCGACGGACGCGACGGCACATTCGCCATCGGGCGACGCGATGGGGCCGCGCGCGCGCGCGCTCGCGCTCGCGATCGCCGCGTGGACGCTCGCGGGCGCGCGCGCGGACGCGGACGCGTGCGCGGCGGCGCGACGGACGTGCGAACGAACGGTGGAGCGCGCGATGGGGGACGATGGGGCGTTGATGCGATTCGTCGACGACGCGCGGACGCGGGCGCGAACGGCGACGAGGGGGGCGGCGGAAGCGCACGCGTTGACGCTCGACGCCGCGCGCGAGAGAGAGAGGTCGGCGGAGATGTTCGCGCTCGGGTGCTGCGCGATGGACGGGGGATGCGTCGAGGACGTCGGGACGGAGGCGGAGAAGGCGGCGGTGCGCGCGGTCGGGGCGGACGCGCTGTTCGCGGCGCAGGCGATTGAAGATGCGGTGAAATTTCCGTGGGCGGGAACGCTCGGGGCGGACGCGAGGGCGTGCGCGCGAGGACGAGGGTGCGACGCGGAGAGCGCGGCGGCGTATGAAAAATCTGGAAACGCGGGCGACGAGCTCGGGAAATTGCGAGCGGGCGACGCGGCGTTGAGGCGATACGCCGCGGGACTGGCGACTAGAATAGGCGGTGAGGGGGCGGTGGAGGTGTGCGATGCGAGTCTTGGGGGCGATGCGGGCGACGCGGCGCGGGCCAGGACGCTGTACAAGGAATTGTTGACGTCCAACGCGTTCGACAAGGTTGCGTCGGAGAGACTGCGCGAGGTCACGCGCTTAGAAGAGCTGTGGATCGATCCATCAAAAGGAGGTAAGCCGGATATGGCGTACGCCATGGCGGATGCGTTGGTGAAATTGACGGTTCGCGTCTCGGTGGCGCTCGCCGTGCTCGCCGTGTCGTACGTCTATCGCGACAGTCGTTGGATGGGTGGATTGTGGCGTTTGGTGCGAACGGTGCTCTTGTTCGGCATCGTGATAGATACCATCGCTCGCGTCCGCGCGTTCATCAAGTGGTTACGTTGGAAACCACCGGTGACTAATACGCGCGCGGCGAGACGCGAAGAGAAGCGTCGCGAGCGACGCAAGAGCGGACATCACGCGTGAATAGACGTAGATGATTCCTTGTTGATACCGAACTTTTCCGAATCAAATTATTACAACGTCTACGGTGTCTTTCTAATATGTCTCTACCACAAAACCAGCATCTAAAGAGCCTCTTCCTTGGACATCAGGCCGGCGTCTTCCAACACTTTTTCAAATGTCACGTCGTCGTTGAAGTGCACCTCGGGAATCTTGTGATTGAAGTGTAACTCAATCTGATCGCAAATCGCGCGTTCAGAGTCGCCCAGGATGAGGTTGAACGCTGCGCCCTTTTTACCGAAGCGCCCGCTGCGACCGATGCGGTGAAGGTATGTCTCGTAATTTGGCGAGCGCGGGTTATGGAACTCCACGGGCATGTCGTAGTTGATCACGAGCGTCACCGTGCTCACGTCCAAACCTCTGGAGAGCACGTCGGTGGCGATGAGAATTTTGGTCAAGCCGTCACGGAACTCTTTCACGACTCGGTCGCGATCGCTATGTTCCATCTGTCCCTCGATGACAGTGCACTTGTATCCGCTTGCGTTCATCGACGCGTGGAGTCTGCGCGCGCCCTCGCGCGTGCGAACGAAAATGATGGTTTGACCAATCTTATCGCACAACGGGAAGATCTTCTCCTTGAGCAACACGTCTTTGGCGTCCACGGAGTTCACCACGACGCGATGCTGCTTGATGACATCGAGCGAAAGCTCGGTGGCCGGGATGAAGATTTGGTTTGCGTTGGGCACGACTTTCGTCGCAAAGCTCTTCACCGCCTCGTTAAACGTGGCGCTAAAGAGCAAGACCTGCCACGCCTTGGCGCTCATGGAAAGATGCTTCAAGATCTTCGTGCTATCAACGCGATGCCCATCGGTGGCCATCATGTGATCCGCTTCGTCGAAGACGAGGATCTTCATGTTGTTACACGCCAGTTGTCGCTCTCGCATCCAGCGCAAAATTTTCCCCGGCGTCCCGATCACCGCCTGATCCACAATCTTGTTACGATTCGTGTTATCCCACTTCGGATCCGCCGTGCTCGCGATCGTTATCCCGGTGTACTTCCCCATGCGTTCCATCACGCTCACGTTTTGCACCACCAGCTCGCGCGTCGGGCAAATCATCAACCCCTGCGGCGTCTTCACCGCCGGATCAATCCGGCTCAGCATCCCCAACGTAAAGCACGTCGTCTTCCCACTCCCGTTATGCGCCTGCGCGATCAAATTCCTATGCGGCGGCATCAGGATCAACGGCAGCGTCTCCGCCTGAATCTTCGACGGCTTTTCAAACTTCATCTCCCCGTACAACCCCCGCAGGAGCTCCGCGCTCAGGCCCAGATCCTCGAACGTCTTCGCGCTCGAGTACGGCGTGGACGGATCGACGATCGTCTTCCGCACCTCCCCCGCGTGTTCTTCCCGCAAGCCATCGCTCTTGAGCGCGAGATCCGGGGCGTCGACCACCCCAGCGCGCGCGCCCACGTCGGTGGTTCGTCGCAGTGAATCCGCGATCGCGTCCACGGCGTCGCCGTGCGCGCCCGCGCGGACGTCTTCGAACCCGGGCGGGGGCGGGGGTAAATCCGTGGTCTCGTCCGAGGCCCAGGGCGCGGACATCGCGCGCGCGATCGTCGGGCGGCGACCGATCGCGCGCGCGACGTCATCGATGATGGCGCGTGTGGGCCATCGACGAGTGATGACTCGAGAAATGACGGACTCGAGTCGACCCCATCGCGAGGTTTCGCCCCTCGCGCGCGCCGTCGGGACGCCGCACACGCCGACGCGCGCGCGAACACCCGCGCGCGAGGGACGTCCGTGAGCGACGCGACATGGCGGCGGTGACCGCGGCGCGCGCGCGCGTGACCACGACATCGCGCGCGATGGGGGTCGATAAGGGACGACCCACCGCGGCGCCGGGCCGGGGTGCGACGACGACGCGACGGGCGGTGACGCCGGTGACGCCGGGTGGGGACATCTCCAAGGAACAACGCCCGGACGCGGCGGGGCGGTACGGGCGGTACGGGGGGAAGTACGTGCCGGAGACGTTGATTCCGGCGCTCGCGGAACTCGAGCGCGAGTACGAGGCGATCAAGACGGACGCGGCGTTCCAGGCGGAATTGAAGAGCGTTTTGAAGGATTACGTCGGGAGAGAGAGCCCGTTGTATCACGCCGAACGATTGAGCGAGGCGTTTAAGGATGCGGACGGGAACGGGCCGGAGGTGTATCTGAAGCGCGAAGACCTGAATCACACCGGGGCGCACAAGATTAACAACGCGGTCGGTCAGGCGCTGTTGGCGAAGCGCATGGGGAAGAAGCGCATCATCGCCGAGACCGGTGCGGGACAACACGGCGTCGCGACGGCCACGGTGTGCGCGCGATTCGGTTTGGAGTGTATCATTTACATGGGCGCGGCGGACATGGAGCGACAAAAGCTCAACGTGTTCCGCATGCGCTTGCTCGGCGCCACGGTTCGCCCGGTGTGGGCGGGCACGGCCACGCTCAAGGACGCCACGTCCGAGGCCATTCGTGACTGGGTGACGAACGTCGAGGACACGCACTACATCCTCGGTTCCGTCGCCGGTCCGCACCCGTATCCGATGATGGTGCGCGACTTCCACGCGTGCATCGGACAAGAGACGAGAGCGCAAGCTATGGAAAAGTGGGGCGGTCTTCCGGATATCCTCGTCGCGTGCGTTGGCGGTGGATCCAACGCCATGGGCTTGTTCCACGAGTTCATCAACGACGAGTCCGTACGCATCATCGGCGTCGAAGCCGGCGGCGAGGGCATCGCGCCGGGTCAAAAGCACGCCGCCACGCTCACGCTCGGCACCCCGGGTGTGCTTCACGGCTCGTTCTCCTACTTGATTCAAGATGAAGAGGGTCAAATCGTCGAACCGCACTCCATCTCCGCCGGTCTCGACTACCCGGGCATCGGTCCGGAGCACGCCTTCTTGAAGGATTTCGGTCGCGTCGAGTACCACGCCATCACGGATAAGGAGGCGCTCGACGCGTTCGTGAACACGTCGCGTTTGGAAGGTATCATCCCGGCGCTCGAGACTTCCCACGCCTTGGCGTACTTATGGAAGCTCTGCCCGGGTCTCCCGAACGGCACCAAGGTTGTCCTCAACTGCTCTGGTCGCGGCGACAAGGATGTGATGACCGCCGCCAAGTTCCTTGACATCAGCGGTGAGGTCGGCGAGGCGCCCCCGGGCACTCGCATTCCCCCGGGTGCTCCCGGCGGACCGCCGCTCGGCGGTGCGCGATAAACGCGCGGTCTTCCGCACCGCGACTCATCGCTCGACTGCATAAAGTCGACGAAGATTACTTTACTAGGAAGCCGTTCGCTTCATTTTGTCATCACACGCGATGCTCATTTATCCTCACACCCCACCGCGCCATGACCGCGCGCGCGTTCACCCAGCCCGCGTCGCTCGACCACCCGCGCGCGCCGTCGGCGTCGCGCACCCGCGCGCGCGCCCGGACGCGACTGAAACCGCTCGCCGCGCTCGCGACGACTGAAGAAGAAGCGTTTGAAGCTTTCATGCGCGACGCCTCCATCCGCTCTCGCGTCAAGCTCGGTCGCGGTGAAAACGGTCGAGGGCTGTTCACCACGTCCATGGTGGGCATGAAGAGCGTCGAACTTTTGCTGGAAGTGCCGCTGGACGTGTGCATCGTCGCGCCCGTGGGCGACGGGTCGGCGGCGAGCGCGGACGACACGGCAAAGGCGGTCGTCGCGTCTTGGGAGCGAAGAAACCGCGAGGTCCCGCAAGCGATCAAGGATATGATGTTTGAGAAGAATTCGGACGCGCGGGAGCTCGCGTGCGCGCTCTGGGTCTTATTCGCGACGCGCGCCGGGGGGGAGGTGTGGGAGTCGTACGCGAGCTGGTTGCCGAATAAGCGGGACGGATTGCCGTCGATGCTGTTGGCGGCGGAGGAGGAGTTGGAGATGATGCAGAACGAGTCGATGACGGCGAGAGCGAGAGAGTTGCGTGGGCTCGTTCGTAAAGCGTTCGATCGCGTGCCGTTCGCGCACGGGATTCCGGGAAGCGTGACGCTGGAGGATTTGAGCTGGGCGTACGCGTTGGTGACGAGCCGCGCGATCGCGAGCGACGTTGGAAAGGATCCGGACGGCGTGGATGACACCCAGGTAGCGGTGATGGCGCCGTGTGTGGACATGGCGAATCACGTTGACGTGACGAACGTGACGGCGCTGAAGAAAATTGGCGCCACGGATGGCGGTGGTCTTCGCGGAGCGTATTGGCGTTTGATGACCGGCGGTAGCGTCGACGGCGGCGGCGGCGCGTGCTGTCTGGAAACGAACCGTCCGATCACGAGTGCGGACGAAGAGGTGACGATTTCGTACCAACCAGACGCGACGAACGATGAACTAATGGTTAGTTACGGTTTCAGTTTGAAGGGCAATCGCAACGATAGACTTCCGTCACCAAAAGACAATTGGCTTCGTCTCGGCTCTCTTCGTCAAGCAATCGAGGACTCCGGTGTGTTGACGATGGAAACACCCGAAGAAGACGCGCGTCGGCTCATCGCCGTCCTCAGTTCCGCGTGTGGATTGTCCATCGGTCAAGAGACGGCGCCGGATGACGACTGGTCTTTCGACGCCGATGGGACGGAGCGAGAAATCGACAACGCCATCGCGCTCGGACAGATTTGGGAAAGTGAGCTGACGTCGTACGCGACGACATTAGAAGAGGATGAAGCGATTTTAGCGAGTGGTACTAATTATCCCACCGCGTTCGGCCGGGCCGCAGTGCAGTACCGAGCCGAACGGAAACGCCTCTTACAAAGTGGTTTGGGTGTTCTCAACGCGTACGTCGATTGGTTTTACTCTGAAGACGACGTCGAAGTCGACGCGGTGGATGAAGAGGCGCTGCCGATCGGGATGGAGTGAGCACAGGGAGAATATTTAGCGTAGCTTAGCGCAAGAATTGAAAGATTACCGTTACTAGCGAGACAAGAATTTTGGCGCACAGAGCGCCGACGCGTGCGAATTTTCTACAGCTGCGGAAATTTCAGCGAGCTCATCGCCTTTTCAGCCTGCTTCGTCAACCGATCTACCTCCACCTTGGCCGCGCGAATTATATCCGCGTGCGCGCTCGCCGCCTGCTCCGCGAACGCGAGCGCCTCCTTCGCCGCCGCCGTCTCCCGCTCGCTCTCATCCAACTCCGCCCTCGCCTTCTCGCACTCCCGATCCACCTCCGCGAACAACGTCCTGGCTTTTTCCAACGCCGCCTTGGCGTCCGTTCGCCTCGCCGAGACCTCGCCGTACGCGCTCGCGTTCTTCTCCCGCGACGTCTTCGACCGCCACCACCGCCCTTTGGCCTTCTCCAGTTCCTCCTCGTCCACCCGCGCGCGTTCCATCGCCGCTTGAAGCTGACGCTCGGACGCCGACACCGCGCTCTCGGCTCGATAAATCTCCGCCGCCGCGGGGGCGTAGTACGCGGCGATGCCCTGCGTGCGACAGCGTCGAGGATCAGTCCACGAGAACATCAAGGTCGATTCAAGAACGCGCGTGATTCTACACCTCTACGCGACGGAGAGGCGCGTGAGTTCGTCGACGTGACGTACCGCGGTGATACCACCGATGGCGGTGAACGCGAGGGCGCGCTGGGACGCCATCGCGCGCGAGGAAGTGCAGCGAGCGGGCGAGCGGGACGCTTTCGCGATACGCGCGAGCGTCGGTGTGATTCAAAGTAATTCCGCGCGCGTGTCGCCCCGTCGTCTACCGTTCTATACTTTACATTCTATCGCGGGATTCAGCGGCCGAAGGACGTCGAGCGAGAGATCCGACGCGTCGAGATTGAGCTCTTTGCTGACGTCGACGAAGCGCGTCGCCTCCGCCGGGCCGACGATGAGCGAAATCACAACCCTATGACTCCCGTCGGCGTCGGCGCCGACCTCGTTCGCCATCGCATCCAACGCATCGTCCGCGAACGCGCTCGTCAGCCGCGCGCGATACGTCGAGGCGTCTCTCGGAGAGTCGTAGTGCACGAGCGCTTTCACGCGCGCCGCTCTTTCGCCTCGCGCCCGCCTCGGCGCGCACGCGTCCGTGGTCACCAACACCCCCACATCACCGTCTTCCACGTACCGCCTCGCGTTCCAATCGTTCAACGCACGCTCGCGCGCGTGCGGCGCGAGATCACCGTGCAGCGCCGTCGCGTCCGCCGCCCGTCCCGTCCGCGCCGCCGCGCGCGCCGTCGTCTCCAACGCTCGATCCATCGACGCTCGATCGTCCACGAACGTCACGAACGACGCCCGCATCGTCACCAGCGCTCCCACGACGTCCGCGAACGCCTCCTGCGCGCGCGCGCGCGTCAATCCTCCGCTCGAGCCCATCGTGTCGTGCGCACATCACTCGCGCACATCATTCGCGCGTCCGTCCATCCATCCGCGCGCGCGCACCTCCCGACCGTCCACCGTCGCGCTCGCGACGTAGCGATGGATCGCGCGCGCGCGCATGGGCGCCGCGGCGACCGACGGCGCGCGCGCGACGCGCCGAGGCGACGACGACGACGGAGTCTCAATGACAAAACACATCACACGCGGACCCTCTCACCCATCGCGCCCGATCGCGACGGCGTCGCCGCGACAGCGCGCGCGCACGCCTCGCGCACGCGATGGAGACGCTGGAGGCGATGCAGGAGGAGGTGAACGCGGCGGGGGCGAACGTGCGAGCGCTGAAAGCGGAGGGAGCGTCGCCGGAAGCGATCGCCGCCGCCATCGACGCGCTGAAAAAGACGAAACTGACGCTGGAGAGCGAGCTCGCGACGTTGAAGGAGGCGGGCAACGCGGAGGCGAAGGCGAAGGAGGAGTTTCGATCGAAACTGAGCGGTGTGCTCGAGGGACGGTTGTTTTATATTCCGTCGTTTAAGATTTACGGCGGCGTGGCGGGGTTGTACGACTACGGACCGCCGGGGTGCGCGGTGAAGGCGAACGTACAGGCGTTCTGGAGACAGCACTTCGTGTTGGAGGAGAGCATGTTGGAGGTGGAATGTCCGGCGGTGACGCCGGAACCGGTGTTGAGGGCTTCTGGGTGGGTAGAGATTCGACGCGCGCGACGACGGCGGACGCGTTATCCGCGAGACGAGAGCGAGACGCGAATACCGGTGAAGAAGCAAATAAGTTCCAGCTATCGCTGAATATTCCGTGATTACGAAACTTACGCACTCAAACCCCTGAGGTTTACGCGTCGCAACGGGTCGTGCGAGATGAGACGCTCGAGAGAAGCGAGAAGACTGACGACGCGGTTGCGCGCTTTTTCACCCCGCACAGGCATGTCGAAAAGTTCACCGATCTCATGGTGAACGACGTGCAGACGAAGGAATGCTACCGTGCGGATCATCTTCTCGAGGAGAAGATCGAGGAGCTCTTGCGAGACCCTATGCTCAAGGCGGACCGCCGCCGCGAATTGGAGGACTTGCAGGCTCGTATCGACGAGCTCAAGGTTGAGGAGATGTCCGTCGCTTTGAAGGACACGAACACAAAGGCGCCAGTCACGAACAACGACTTGAGTGAGCCGTATCCGTTCAACTTGATGTTCCCGACGCAAATCGGTCCGTCCGGCGCGGTCAAGGGTTTCCTGCGCCCAGAAACCGCGCAGGGCATCTTTGTCAACTTCAGAGACTTGCTCTACTTCAACGGTGGCAAGCTTCCGTTCGCAGCAGCGCAGATTGGGCAAAGTTTCCGCAACGAAATCGCACCGCGTGCCGGTCTCTTACGCGTTCGCGAGTTCACGCAAGCGGAGATCGAGCACTTCGTGCATCCAGATCACAAGGAACATCCTCGATTCGCAGAGGTTGCGAACATCCAACTTAACCTCTTTAGCCAGGAAGCGCAGTTGGCCGCGGTAAAAAAGCCGTTTCTGATGACCGTCGGCGACGCCGTGAGCAAGGGCATTATCGCGAACGAGACTTTGGGTTACTTCATCGCTCGATGTCATCTGTTCCTCATGGCAATCGGCATCGATTCGGCGCGTCTTCGCTTCCGTCAACACTTGAAGCACGAGATGGCGCACTACGCCGCTGACTGCTGGGATGCCGAAATTCAATGTTCGTACGGCTGGATCGAATGCGTCGGTCTCGCTGATCGCTCCGCATTCGATCTTAACGCGCACTCCGAGAAGTCCAAGGTGGATTTGGTCGCGTACGAGCGCTTTGACACGCCGATCCAAGAGGAAGTTCTCGTGATGACGCCAAACAAGCAAATTCTCGGTAAGGCGTTCAAGAAGGACGCAAAACCGATCACTGAAGCGCTCCAAGCTCTCGGCGAGGCCGAAGCTTTCGCGTTGCAAGAGGCGTGCGCGGCGAACAGCTCGGCGGCGCTCAAGACGGATGCGGGTGAGTTCCAAGTGTCTGCGGACATGTTCAAGGTGGAGAAGGTCACCAAGACACTAAACGGACGCAACTATACGCCATCCGTTATCGAGCCGTCCTTCGGTATCGGTCGCATCATGTACTGCATGTTCGAGCACGCCTTCTACATTCGTCCAGATGACGAACAAAAGACTGTGCTCAAGCTCACGCCCGTCGTCGCGCCGATCAAGACGACGATCTTCCCGCTCGTCAACGATGATAAACTGAACGACATCGCCAATCAGATGAATAAGACGCTCACGAGCAACGGTATCAGCGCCAAGTTGGACACGACTGCCGTCTCCATTGGCAAGCGTTACGCGCGGACCGATGAGCTCGGCGTCCCGTTTGCCGTCACAGTTGATCACAGATCCACCACCGATGGCACGGTCACCGTGCGTGAGCGCGATTCGTGCGACCAAGTGCGCGTTCCCATGACAGAAGTCGCCGAACTTCTCGGTCGTCTGTGCAAAATGACCGCGACGTGGGCCGAAGCCACGGCGAGCTATGAAAAGCAAGCCACCGCCGACGATTAATACGTCACAGCGGCAGCGGCTCCACCGCGCGCTCGCGCACTAGCCCTAGCGACCATAAATATTCACGAATCTCGTGCGACGCCAATTTCTTTCCGATTTCCCGTCGAATCCAACCCTCTTCGTCCTCGCCTTTGTCCGCCGCGTCGCCGACCCAACCTCCGGGCCCTCCCTCGGCGCTCTACCCACACTCACACGCGCGTCGATCCAGCTCGCGAGCGCTCGCGTTCGAGCCGAATGCGCGCGACACCAACGCCGCTCGCTCTCGGTGCGCCATCGAGCACCGCGCGCGCGCGCAGCGGCGACGCCCGACGTTTTCGTCCGCGCGCGCGCTCGACGTCGTCGACGTCCGCGCTCGAATCCAGCGCGCACGGCGTCGCTCGACGCCCGAGACGCCGCTCGAGCGCTCGTAGAGACGCGCGGGATGTTTCCGAACGTCCCGGCGCGCGCACGTCCGCGATCGCGGCGCCGGTAGGGATGGATTCGCCGACGGATGGGAATTCGATGACGTCAACCTCGTCCTCGACGCGGGCGAGCTCTCTCGGCGCGGGCGACGGCGCGGAGGCGGCGACGTCGGCGCAGCTCTCCGCGGCGAGAAGGGGGCGGTCGCCACTGAGGTACGACCCGGAGGCGAGCGCGAAGCGGTTCTCGAGAGATCCGCTGGCTGTCGCGGGACGCAGCGCGGAGATCGCCGGGACGTTGAGTTCATTCGCGGCGAGCGTGGCGATGGATTATCAGCGAGGTGAGGTGGAGAAGAACGCTCGTAAGCGGGCGGGTGAGTTGAAGGAGAAACTCACGAGGTTAGGGCCGGCGTTCGTGAAGGTTGGGCAAGCGCTGAGCACGAGACCGGATTTGTTGCCGACGCAGTACTTGGAGGAGCTGAGCGCGCTGCAGGACGCGTTACCGACATTTTCAGATGCCGATGCGTTCGCGTTGGTTGAGAAGGAGCTCGGACGGCCGATGGATCAAATGTTCGATCGAATATCGCCGTCGCCGATCGCGGCGGCGAGCTTGGGGCAGGTGTACAAGGCGAAGACGAAGGACGGGCGAGACGTCGCGCTCAAGGTACAGCGCCCGAGCATAGAGGCTGGGTTAGATTTAGATTTCTACCTCATCAGAACGGGGGCCACGATCATCGATAAGCTGGTGACGTCGTTGAACACGTCCGTGGTCGAGCTCGTGGATGAGTTCGCGGCGCGGGTGTTCATGGAGTTGGATTACGTCGAGGAGGGGCGAAACGCAGAGCGTTTCGCGCGTTTGTACGGCGATCGAACGGACATTGTCGTGCCGGGGATCGAGTGGGATATGACGTCACCGCGCGTGATCACAATGGAGTGGATTCAGGGCACGAAGCTGAGCGACCAGGAATCGCTCAAAGCGCAGGGGTTAGACGTGCTCGCTTTGGTGGACACGGGAATCCAATGCTCTCTGCGTCAGCTCCTTGAGTTTGGTTACTTTCATGCGGATCCGCACCCTGGCAATTTACTGGCGACGCCGGATGGGAAGTTGGCCTTCTTAGACTTTGGAATGATGAGCGAGATGCCGGAGAGTGCTCGATACGCTATTATCGATCACGTCGTGCACTTGGTGAATCGAGACTACGTCGCGATGGCAAATGATTATTATGCGCTGGGCTTCCTGGATGAGAGCGTCGACGTCACGCCCATCGTTCCTGCGCTCGAGGAGTTTTTCGACGACGTACTGGAAGCTACCGTGGAAGAATTGAATTTCAAGACCATCACCGATGGCCTTGGGGCGGTGTTATACAAGTACCCGTTCAATGTCCCGGGTTACTATGCGTTGATCTTGCGTTCGCTCACCGTGCTCGAGGGCTTGGCGTTGACGACGGATCCAAAGTTCAAGGTCCTGGCGAAGGCGTACCCGTACATGGCACGTCGTCTACTTACGGACCCGCGGCCACAGCTTCGCGATTCCTTCGCCGAGCTCCTCTTCAAGGATGGCACGTTCCGATGGAACAGACTCGAAAATTTATTGCGCGAGGGCAGCAAGAGCGATGACTACGACGCCGCTGCCGTCGTCCCGCCCCTCATCGAGCTCGCCATCGGCGAGGACAAGCCCGGTGAGGCGAAGAACACGCTTCGCCCGCTCATTGAGGCGGAGACCGTGCGCGTGCTCGAGGCTATTCTCCTCGGCACCGCGATGGACTCGGCGAAATCGGATGGACTCGCGCCGCTCGTCAATGCGCTCCCCGCGCAGCTTCGCGCGCTCCCACCGTTGACGTTCGGCAACGCCAAGCAAGAGGCCAAGCTCATGAAAAAGCGCGAGCAAATTATGCGCATCGTCGACATTTACTCCGCCTCCAAGGGATTTGACCCTCAAAAGCTCACCCCTGTCGCGGATGCGCTGCGTCAACCCTCCGCCGGCGGCTTCGTCCAGCGCGTCGCCGCCGGTCTGGCCGAACGCATCGCCGCCCGCGTCGTTAACGTCTTCCTCCTTACCGGTGAGCCCGTTAACGCCACCCCCACTTCGTCCAAAGACGTCAGCGCCACCGCCGCGAGGGCGAGATAGAGCGCCCGCGCGGCATTGTTACAGCATTTTTTCCGACCGCTTCCAGCTCCACTTCAGTCGACGTCGACGCCACGTCATCCGATCGACTCGACGCCGAACCTCGCTCGATGTCAGAGTCCGCGACCGCGGACGCGTCGTCGCGCGCGCGTCGCCCCCGTCCGCGGTCCGTCGACGACGCGCGCGGGAACGACGCGTCGGGAAGGATGAATGCGAGCTCGTCGAATCAACCAACGACCCAACTCGAGGGTCGACTTCGGCGTCCACCGCCCCGCGTTGCGTCCACGCGAGCGATCGATGCGGACGCGCGGGCGAACGGGGACGTAGCGGAGCTCGTCGGAGGGGCGACGTCGCGCGTCGACGGCAGGGGGGCGTTCGTAGGACGTCGGAAAGTGATTGAGTATTTGACGCGCGGCGACTCGAGCGGGACGCGGGTGCGCGTTTTGGAGGGTGATCCAGGGAGTGGGGTTTCGGCGACGTTGGGAGCGGTGATAAAGGAATTGCGCGCGACGGCGGAGATGTTGGTCGAGCGCGCGGAGATGGATGGGAACGAAGGGAGGGAGAAGATGCCGTTCATCACGCACGCGCGGTTTCGCGGATGTCGGGCGGGCGAGCGGGATTTGAGACACGCGTTGTGGGTGATGTGCGAGATGATTCGAAAGGAGTTGGGTGATAGAGCACATGCGGGGATGCCATCGACAGCGGCGGAGGCTGGGAAGACGTTGTGGGCGCTGGTGGAGGAATTGTCAGCGACGCGCACGGTGACGGTCGTCGTGGACGAATTGGACTCAGTGGAAGGTCTGATGGATGTTCCGGTGGAGGATTGGTTACCGTCGTCGATACCGGTTGATGTGACCGTGATTATCGGGGCAAAGACGAAAGGGGTCGCGGTGGACTACTTAGCGAGCGCGGGAGAGCGAGCGGCCACGCTTACAAGGAAGCGGTTGCCACCGCTCAGCATGCACGAGCGCGTCGAGCTCTCTCGAGCGCTCTTCGAGACACCGGACGAGCGCGAGATAACGAGTGAGGTATTCGAACAAGTCGGCAATAATATAGACGCGAGCTCGCCGACGTATCTATACCTCGCTGCGCACGAATTGAGGCGAAGGGTGCGCGCGATGAGTCGGAGAGCGGACGTACCACTCGACGTTGCGCACGAGATGCGCCAGTTGCCAGAGACGCTTGAGCAACTCCTCGCGTACGTCTTTGATGGTTTGGAGAATCATCACGGTGCGGAGCCGGTACGTCAGCTCATAACGCTTCTTTTGTCATCCCGCGCTGGACTTTTACCGGACGAAATTTCCGACATGATGAGGATCGCGAAGGCATCTGTGTCATTCCTAGCGCTCACCGAGGACATCGCCCACATGTGCTGGTTCTACGAGGAAGAGACGCGCTCGGCCGCCGTGCCAACGAATATAATTGTGCTCCGTCACTCGCCCGTCATCAATTACTGTCGGCGACGATACTTGGCCCGAGACGGTGCGACGGCAACACATCGCGAGGCGACGCAGTACTTTCTGCAAAAACTTGCCGAGTCCTCAGGTGGCAATTACGATTCGCGAGTACTACTGGAGGTGCTGCATAACGTCCGGATCGGCGCGTTTCCAACCGCATGGGACCAATTGGTTTCGTATGTCACGGATCCGGAGATAATTCATTACTTGTGGCAACAAAAATATGTGAGCGATTTGCACGAGACTTGGCAATGCGCTATGAAACCGAAGGAGGGCTACGTTGGGAGAGAACCGATTGAATTAATACTTTCACGTCTTGGCTCGTTGAACGTACGCACGGCGGATATGTGTGCGGCGTCGATCGTCGACTTCTTGGCCTGGATCGGCGCGGACACGCACGTCGTTTCGGTATGCAAAGTCGTCTGCAATCGCGACACAATTCAGCAACACATTGTCGCAGAGTTGAACATGAAATACGCGCGCGCTCTTCGTCGACTTGGAAATTGGGAAGAGGCTCTGGACAAACTGAAAATCGCATACACGTATGAATCGTCGAATTTTAACGGTAATACGCCGCTCGGGGCGATTATCAAGAGTGAAGAGAGCCTGTGCCTGGCGCGCACAAGGAGTGATGAAATCACGTTTGACAATCACGAGCTTTTTGGAATGAGAACCGCTGTCGAAGAAGCCATTCGCGTCGCCATCGATTCTGCGGAGTCAAGCCTGAGTTCGTGGCACTTGTGCATGAAGGATCGAAGTGTGAGAGATGTGCTGAATCGGGTCGAGACGGTCAACATGAACGTCGCAACATTGTACGGTCTCATGGGTTCCCGGGAAAAGGAAATCAAAACTCACGAAGAGATTATTGCGCGCCTCGAAAAGACGCTCGGCACAGATCATATCGTTGTGCATTCTCAAACGAAGCGGCTCTCGACCGTTTACGCGAGACATGGAGAATGGGAAAAGGCGGAGTTGTGTATTGAACAGGCGCTGAATTACAGCATCGAGATGTATCCTGAGAGTTCACTTGAGCTACTGGAAAATCTTCAATCTCTCGCGAACCTGTACGAAAAGAAGGGCGACTTAAACAGCGCAAGTGAAGTTTTCCATGAGTTGATCAAAGATGTAGAGGAAGTAACTGATGCAAACAACAAACCTGTGTTCAACGAGCTGCTCGCAAATGTTGCAGGGGATTACGCGCGCATTCTTCGTAAATTGAAAAAGAAGGAAGAAGCGAAGAATATGTACATTAGAGCCCTCGACGTGACGAGAGCGCGGTTTGGGGAATTGTACCACGGTACGGCTGATCGTTTGGGCGAACTAGCGTCGATGCACTTAGAGCTCGGTGACGTAGATCAAGCGATGGAGCTTTATATGCTTGCACTCGAATTGGACACACGTCTGCTTGGTGAGAATCACCCAAGTTTGATCGTTCGCGAGATCGACCTTGCGAGTGTGTTCAAGGCGAGAGGCGATATGAAAGAAACGCTGAGACGTTACGCAGCTGCAGAGTCAGTATTGAGGGCGACGAACGAAGAAGACTTTCCAGAGCTGGCCGCTGGCCTTAACATGGTGGCTGATTTGTACACATCGCACGACCAGTGGCAGCGAGCGGAACCGCTCTATGTTCGTGCCGTGAGCGTCGCAGAGAACAGTTTCGTCGCGAGCAATAACTTGGATGTGTACTTGACAAATTTAGCGCGGTGCTACAAGGTACAAGGCCGTCTTCAGAAGGCGAGGACATATTTTGAGAACGCGCTTAAAGCCGCCGAGGCGAAGCATCGTTCTGACACTTTGGAAATCGCAACGTTGTTAGTCGATTTAGGCGAGGTGCTAATGGCCTTACAACTCTGGAGTGACGCATTACCGTATTTCGCACGAGCCAAGCCGATACGAATCACAAAGCTGGGGCCAGAGCACCTGGACACGCTTTTGGTGATTGACGCGCTCAATACCATCATGGAACAACTTGAAAAGGCGGAGAAATCCAAGGGCAAAGTCAAAATTAAGGCTGCAAATTTCGAAGTCCTCGAAGTCCCAGCAAAGTACCCCGAAGATGAGAGGCCGAGAGTGAATGACGAGACGCGTAAGGCCGACGATAAGAAAGAGAAGACTAAACGACAACGACCAGTCTCCGAGAGTCCGGCGCAAATGGCATTGAATAGACTCGAAGAGCTGACGAAGATGCCAGACAAGGATCCAGTGAAGGTGATCGCACCAGCCGTAGCTAAAGAAAACGTTGTCGTCCGAGAAACGGTGCCAGAGCAATATATCCGCGCTGAGAAGCCGTCGGTACCAGAGCAAACTGTCCATGCGAACAAGCCGTCACAGTCCATCGAGAAACAGGCACAGAAACTCAAACTTGGTGACGTGAGCGGATTTCTGACCGAATATGTTGAGTACGTGGGACACCGTGAGTACATGTTTAAGCTGGACGGCAAAGTGTTTCCGACGTTTGCTCTCGTCAGAGAACATGTCGAGGAAAATTTTGCTGACGAGTGCAGACTTTGGACTCGAGGCAAGTTTGTGCCAACGCCTTTTGCGACGCCAGTTGCCGTCGTCAAGGCGGTGAAACCATCGCAGAGGGAATATTTCGACGCATTGCGTGCACACGCCTCTGAGGCGAAGCTGCTGCAGCAGAAAGGGACGGCAGCGGAACAAACTCAAGTACTGCCACGTGTGCAGGAAGCTTCCATCGGGACGACACCTCGTGTATATTCGAAGCCGACGGTCGTCGAGTCACCTCAGTCCGAAAGCTTCGATGCACTGTCTCTGGATATGACGCAGCAGCAGGAGCACACGCCACAGTCCAAGATGCAAGATCAACAAGTTGTCGCTGCGAACGGGCTCGTCACCATGCCGCTCAGAGAGCGTGATTACATGGTGACGAAAATAGACTCCCTCGAGAGCGAGCTTGCGAGCATGAGGGAAATGATGCAGCGCGTCTTACATGAGCGCGATCTCGCATCGCGCTTCGATTTGTCGGCGCCGAGTCATGGCTCTGGGTACTTTGATAGACCAGCGTCGCAGTCAATGAACGGCACGGGATACGCCGTCGCCCCATCGTATCCGTTCACCAGCTACGTGGACTCACAATCTGCGCCAGTATCCCGCGACCCGGTACCTTCGTGGCCATCCAGGAGTTTCGGACTCGAACACTTTCCTCGGTCGAAAACATCTTCAACAAGACCACGGAGTGAAGCACATCCGAAGATGAGACTTGTTCGCCTCGGCGACGGGGATCGCCCTCGTCCTTCAATGCGTATCGACGCACCACGTCGTGGTACTTTAGTGCATGTTTCGGATGATTCCATCTTAGAAAAGTACTTGCGCGCGCACTCGGAGGAGATCGCGCCGAGGACGTTCCGATGCGCGATTGACGGCGTCGTCGTGTCTTCGGAGACTCTCTTACGCGCACACTTCGAGCGCGCGCACGCCCAGGACGCCGAAGCGTACGATAGACGTCATCAACACGAACATGCAGCGTGAAACCACTCGTCGGTGCGCCCGTCTGCGCGCGATTAGCCGTGACAGTTGTATTATTGACTCACTCGCGCGTCCGTCGCGCCGTGCGCCACACACTCGGACGCGCGTCACGATGTCCCTTCGCGCGCTCGCCCGTTCGCTCAAAAGTGGACGCGTCGCCAAGGATGTTATCGCGCGACGCGGTGGGATCGACGCGCGCGCGCTCGGCGTTCGCGGCGTCGACGTCGATGACGGTTTGTTTCTTCGCGAGCCCGCAGCCGCGTCAGCTCTGCGCAGCTTCACGAGCGTCGCGAGTGATCAAACGAGCGACGTAGGGCGTAGTATGATGTCGTGGACCGTCGCGCGATCGAGCGCGGCGTCGACGACGCGCGCGTACAGTAAGAAAAAGGGGAAGAAACAAGTCGTGGAGGAGCGAGCGGCGACGGCGAGCGACGAGGAAGAGAGCGGATCGGACGACGAGGACGAGAGCGAGGACGAGGCGTACGACGCCAAAGTTTGGGAGAGGTGCGACGGTGTGAATGGTGGACGCGGGAGTGAAACTTGAGAGAGTGCGTGAGTGATGAGAGACTGACGGCGCGCGCGCGCCGCGTGTGAACACGCAGTAAGTTTGAGCAGGCGGTACACGCGCTCGATGTCGATTTATCACACCTACGAACGGCGCGCGCGTCAGAAGGAATGATTGATCACATTATAGTCGATGTATACGGCGCTCCGACGCCGCTATCCCACGTGGCGACGATAACGGCGCCGAACGCGCAGACGCTCTCGGTGACGCTCTTCGATCCGAGCACGAAACCGAGCGTGGAGAAAGCAATCATGAACTCACCGCTCGGGCTCGTCCCTCGAGCGACGAGCGACGGATTGATCGTACCGATACCCGCCATGACCCAGGACACGCGCAAGGAGGTGTGCAAGCTCGCGCACAAGCTCGGCGAGACAGCTAAGATTGCCGCGCGTAACATTCGCCACAAGGCGCTCAAGCACATCAAGCGCGCCGCGGCATCCGAGGACGAACAAAAGCGACTCGAAAAGGCACTTCAGGCGGTCGCCGACGACACCGCGAGCAAAATTGCGAGCAGAGTGGCCGCCAAGGATAAGGAGATAATGACGCTGTGAATCCAATGTAGATCGTCCCAACCGTCCCAACCGTCCCGACGCGGACGCGACAGCCAGGCGGAGGCTTTGGCGCGAAACAATCCGCACTCAACGGCGATGTCCCGCGTCGCCGCGCCGCGAATCGGGCTCAAGCCGCCGACGACGTCGCGTCCGTCGAGCGCGCGCGGAATAGTCGCGCTTAGAGCGAAAACGACGCACCTTGAGCCCGAACAGACGAACACAGATGTTTCATTCATTCAAACGACCGCGTCTCCATGGATCCCGCGCTCGCCGCTCAGCGACGACACGACGCCGACGCAGCGCTCAGCGTTCGTGATCGGATTTGTGTTGGGTGCACCGCTGGCGCTGTATAAGATCGCGTACGACGTGCGACGGCAGAACGTGGCGGAGCGTCGACGCGCGGCGGCGGCGGCGGATAGGACGCGCGTCTCGAGCGCGCTGGATGGACGACGCGACGGCCGATTGAGAGCGGAATCTGTCGGGAGAATCGGTAGAAGGGCGGAGGTTCGAGCGCAGAGAAATGTGACAGACATTCCGATCGCGAGTAATAAGCCGCGGGAGGTGAAAATGGCGAAGAAGGGCGTCGCGCCGAAGACGGCGGTGGCGACGCCGACGTCGAAGCCGAAGCCCGCGCCGGTGAAAAAGGTGAGAGGAAAACCGGTCAAGATCACGCTCGCGACAGAAGCTGTGGTGCCGGAGGGGTATTCTTTGAGCGTCGTCGGGGACGACGAGGCGATCGCGAAGCCAGTCGCTCTGAAACGCGTGGGACAGAATCGATGGCAAGTTGTACTGGAAGTTGGATCCGGCGAGTTGCGCTACTCGTACGTCGCGGTGATCGGCGATACGATGACGAAGGATGTGAAAGGCGAGCGCGTGCGGCAGGTCCCCACGAGTGAGAGTACACTCATTGTCGAGACGGAGGCGCCGTCATTTAGTTAAGATTGTAAGCTGCGTACAGTGTTCGCTAATTTACTGATGATACAAGCCCGGGCGTTTCGGATGTCGGCCGCGCGTCTTTGGCACAGGCGGCTTCCCCTTACGAGCGCGCCTCGACCGCCAACTATCTTCCATCTCCGCGGCGGTCATACTATCTATCTCCTCATTAGTGAGGAGTTCATTTTTATGTGAAAAAATGGAACACCGCGCTTCGCTGTTCGCCGAGTCTGGAGCCACAATTACAGCTCCTGGAGCGCCCGGCACGCGAGCGAAACAACCAACGCTGACCTCCTCGGAGAATCCGCGTGTCCTTCGGCGAGGACGCAAGATGGATACCGGAGGATGCGTACACGCGGTTGATAGCCATCGCTCCGTCTTTCGAGGCGGTCCAAACGTTTTCCTAACGTCGAATAGAGCCACGCCCGCGTCGCCCGGATTCGACATGAAGAGCGCAAAGTCTTCCAAATCGACGCAGCTGGATTGTTCGGAGACACCCTCGAACGTAGCGAAAGGCGATTCAAATATCGCCACTATTTGTTCCTGCGGCATGCCCCGTCTGTCCCACATGACGGCGCCGATGTCTTTCACCACGGCGGTGATGAGAGGTCCGTTCACTGAGAGAGCGTTGATTTCCGCATTCTCGTAAGACTCTGGCAGAGAGAGAGTATCAACGAACGCGGCGCGGTTCAAATCGACGCCGACGACTTTCTGGAACGTAGATCCCACCCACATCCGCGACGTCGCGGCGACGTGCGAGCGAAGACGTCCGTATGAGTTACCTCCGAACATCCCCATGCACGTCACGCCGTGCGCGCGCTCATCCGAAATCAAATCTCGAAGCGAAACTGAAGTGACGCTCGCCGCTTCGTCCGTGTCCCATATCTCCAGCGACGGATGCATCGCGCTCGCGCATACGACCAGGGACGTCGCTGGGATACCGCACAGCGCGGAGATGGCGCGATCATCTGGAATCGCGTGCGCGCGCTTTTGCATGTACTCGAGCGTGTCGCTGTCCCAAATCCGCAGTCGCCCGCCGTCGTCGCCGCACACGATTGACGACTGATTTACGGCGAGCGCCGTTAAGCCCCGCGTTGCGGTGCTCCTTTTTTCGACCATTAACGTCGCCAACCGGCCACCTGCGTCGTCATCGCCCCGAATTCCCGCGCCGTGATACCAAATCTTCACCTTTTCTCTGTCGAACGACGTAACCGTCGTCTCGTCCGCGATCAAACCGCGAACGAAACTCGGCCCGACGCCGAAGTGCACCGGCTTCGGCGTGCTCACCTCTCCCGTGCGGAGATCACCGAACCACCTTTCGCTCGACAAGAACGAAGAAACCAACTCGGAATCCTTAATCTCGCTCGACGCTCGAGGTTTGCCAAACATTGACTCGCACAGCGCGTCCCTGACGTGCTCGCGTTGAGACAGCACCCACAGTGACTTGCACGTCGCCGCTAGCCGAACAGAATCGCGAAACGACAACATTCCGAACACCCGTGCCCACACCTCTTGCGGCAGCGCGTCGAACGCCTCCACCGGTCGCTTCTCGACCTCTGAAGCATTCGTCGCTCCGCCTCTGCGCTCGCCCCTCCGACCGGTGGGCCAAACCGTCGACTCGCTCGAGGTCACACGCACCGCGTCCCGCAACGACGCCTCGTTCGCTCGCACCCTCGAAACGAACGTCTCCGCGTCCAACTTATCGACTCTATCATCGTCCGTGCGCTCTCTGCGAAGCTCCACGCGCACGCGTTCCGCGTCGCGTTCGCTCAGCGCCGCGCGCTCGAGCAACGCCCTCAAGCGAGCCAACTCATCGCGCTCCTTCTTCGAACTCTGTGCGCTCACTTCGCTCTGTGCGTCGCCGTCTACGCTTCCAGATAACGACGGTGATCGTCGTCGAGCGCTCCGTCGCCCGTCCGCCTCCTCTCGTCGCCGTCGCGGGGCGTCTCTGAGCAACTTTGCCCGAGCGCGAGCTTGTTTTCCAGTCGAACCAGGGACGTATTTCAACGACGGTGACGACGCGAGTTGCTCCGGGGAGGCGTTCCGGTCGTCCTCGTCGTCGGAGGCGGAGGATGACTCCGATCGCTTGGCGCGGGAGCGACCGCGGGGCATGGGAGACGCCGAGGAGTGGCGCAAGAGGCCTGTTTTACAATGCGAGAGCGCGGTAAAGCGAGAAACGAATAGCGATGCGATGATGATCAACGCGATTACCTGCGAGTGGGCGCAAATGAGGCGGCGTCGGCGCGAAGGATGGGTGCACGCTTGACGTCCATCGCGGGAGAGGCCTTGCGAACGGGCGTGGCGGTCCTGAGGCTCGGCGCGTCGTCGTCGGATAAATCCAACTTGTCCATCGCTCCGGCGAGTCCGGCGCGGGACTCATCCTCGGACGCGCTCGCGGAGGATAAATCGTCGTCGATGTCTTCTTCCGCGGCGGTGCGCGAGCCAGCCGTACCGAGCCTGACGGCCGCTTCCTCCATGAAGTTTGAGACAAAGGTGAAACCCATAAACTTTTCTTGCTCGCCGGACACGGGCGTGGCGGCGACCGAGTCCACGGGATCGACGTCCGTCCAGCGCGCGTCGAAGTTCGCGACGCAGTGCTGACCCTGAACGTTCGGCTTGAACGGTGGATTGATCGCCTTCAGCGCGATCTTCGACCATTCCACGCTCTTGAAGTACTTGTGCCCCTTGACGTCCGCGGTGCCAGTCTCCCCGCGACCGAGACGCAACGATGGATCTTTGGCGAGTAACCCTTTAATCAACCCCACCGCGTCGGGTTGGAAGTAATTTGGCACCTTAACCTTCTCGCTACAGATGGCCTTTTGCACCGCCTGCTTATTTTTCCCCTTGAACGGGAGCGTACCGGATAACATTTCGAAAATCAACACCCCCACGGACCACCAATCCGCCGTCTTCCCGTGGCCCTTGGCGCTCAAAATCTCCGGCGCCATGTAATCTATCGACCCCGCGAGCGAATTCGCTCGACCATCTTCCGAGATCTTCTTCGCTAAACCGAAATCGGTGATCTTCACGTGTCCCTCGTTATCGACTAAGATGTTCTCCGGCTTTAAATCTCGGTGCACGATGGAGAGCGAGTGCAAATGTCCAACCGCCAGACAAATCTCCGCGGCGTAAAACTTTGTGAGCTCGTCCCCGAACGTTCCCTGCTGATACAACTGAAAGAATAAATGCCCACCATTGATGAAATCGAGGATTAAATACAGCTTGCTCGTCGTCTGGAACGAATACCTCAAACTCACGATGAACGGGTGCGTCACCGCCGTCAAAATATCCCGCTCCGCTCGCGTGTACTCCGCTTGATCCTTCTCGATGATCCGATCCTTCTTCATCACCTTCATCGCATAAATCACCCCCGAATCCTTCTTCTTCACCTGAAAAACCTTCCCGAACGCCCCTTGCCCGACCAACTTTAAAATCTCAAAGTCCTCCGGCGACAACTTTTTCGTCTCTCGCGCCCCGCTCGCGCTCGGCGTCTCGTCCAGCAACAACCCACTATCGATCCGTCGCAGGTTCGCGCTGAGCATGCTCACCCCGGAGCTGTGTTGTCGCTTCAACGTCGGCGTCTCCGTCCCATCGCTCGTCGCTCGCACGTCGAACCCATCCATCTTTCGCGTCCCCGCCGCCGCGGCGCGCGTCCCATCGCCCTCCGCGATCGCGTATCCGAGTCCACTGAGCGCCCACGCGCGGCGCGCCTCGGCGTCGCTCGCGGATGTCGTCATCGACGCCGTCGCGCGCGCGTCGCGTCGTGCGCCGCGCGCCGGCCATCGCGAGCGCCACCGAGGGACACATCGACGAGTCATGACTCCCGAAAGCATCGACACGACCGACACGACGACCGCCATCGCGCGTCGGCGTCGCCCCGCACACGCGCGCGCGACGTGCGCACGCGCGAGCGCGCCCGAGGGTGGGTGCGCGATATTTTTACGCGCCGATCGCGCGGGCGGACGGGCGCGGACGGGCGTCGCGGCGCGCGCGCGGCGACGCGATCGACCCTCGACGAGGGTTCGCGGGTGTGGGTGATTCGGCGGCACGATGGGGGCGTCGCGCGTCGAGGGCGCGATCGGGGCGGTGGGACGGTGCGCGCGGACGCGTGGACGGGCGCGCGGGCGTGGACGGGCGCGCGGACGCGGTGGTCGAGCGGTGGCGCGGGCGGAGGCGTTCGCGAGCGACGCGGCGCGCGCGGCGAGCGCGAGAGGGCGGCTGGCGGTGAAGAACGCGAGCGAAGAGGCTCGAGCGCTGCTCGAGGGCGCGAAGGCGCCGACGACGCGAAATGAGGAGTATCGGTTTACCGATTTCAGCGCGTTGACGACGGCGGCGTTCGTGGGGCCGAGGGAAGACGCGCGATGCGACGCGAGCGGGACGAAGGTCGCGGAGGCGTGCGCGAGGATAGTCCTCGTGGACGGCGCGTTGGACGCGACGCAGAGCGATTTGACGAACGCCGCCAAGGCTGGGGTGGACGTCCGCGTGGGTGAGGGCGACGAGACGACCGGGGTGCAGAGCGCGGTGAGAGGAAACGTGTTCTCCGCCATCAACTCGGCGAGCGCGTCCGACGTGGTCGTCGTCAAGGTGGCCAAGGGCGTGAAGTGCGCGATGCCGATCCACATCGTCACCTTGTCCACGGGCGGTGATAGTGGCGCGATGCGAGTGTCGGCGCCGCGAGTGACGATCGTTCTCGAGGAGGATGCGGAGCTGTCCGTCGTGGAGGACTTCGCGGGTGAGGGCGAGACCGAGTACTGGCAAAATGGCGTATGCGAAATCACCCTCGCCAAAGGTGCTTCGATGAAGCACTCGCTCATTCAAAACCACGGCCGGTCGGCCACGCACACGCGCACGACACTCGTGACTCAAGCGGAGGGATCCAGGTACGAAGCAAACGAAGTCTCCGTCGGCGGCAAGACGGCGCGTCACGACCTCAACATTAAGCAACTCGGCCCGAGAACGGAAACCGTGCTTGGGTGCTTCAACCTCGCCGGAGCCGAGCAAACCTTAGATTTACACAGCAAAGTATTGCTCGATCACGAGGAAGGTGTGAGTGATCAGTTACATAAGTGCATCGTGAGCGCGGCTTCCGGACGCGGCGTCTTCGATGGCAACGTGCAAGTGAACAGGTTCGCGCAGCGCACGGACGCACAGCAGCTCTCGCGCAACTTGCTCCTCGTTCCCAAGGCGACGGTGAATGTCAAGCCGAATCTTCAAATCATAGCTGACGACGTTAAGTGCACGCACGGTTGCACGGTCAGCGATTTGGAGGAGGAGGAATTATTCTACATTCGGTCCCGCGGTTTGAGCACGGAAATCGCTCGCTCGCTCTTAGTCAGCGGTTTCGGTGTCGAGGTGATTAACCGATTCCCGGGTAAGGACTTGCGCGATCGCGTCAACGCCATGGTTCGCAACGCGCTCTCGAGAGACAGCGTTGAGTTCGAGTGGACCGGAGACGCGTAACGTCTGCGCCGTTGCAATAAATTATTACGCGCTCTAAAACCTCGCCGTCGCCGCTCGGTAGATCAGATCATCATTTCGTTGTTTCATCATCACAAAATCGTTCGTCTCTCGGCGACGTCGGACGCGTACTAGTTAATAGAACAAATCTCTCGACTTGGTATTGATCAGCTTGACGAGCTCTCCGTACGAAAACGTATCGAAATCGTCGCCGAACTCCACGCGAGAGCACTCCGTGACCGACATAGGTCCATCAACGGTGGCCTCAAACTCGATGTACTTCGACTTGAACTCACCACCCTCCGCGAGCGTGACCGTGATCGTCTTATCGTCCGTCGTCTTCAGCGTCGCCCGCTGCGCGTCCACGGGCGCGACCTCGCCCACGACGAGCACCTTTTTCCCTTGAAATCGTTCCAGACTCTCCCCATTCACTCGAGGCGCGGGCGCGGAATCGTCCATGATTATATCTGCGTCGCGCGCGCGCGCGCGTCGTCGTCAGTCCATCCCATCGCGCGTCGACGACCAAAGTCCTTCGCGCACGGTGCCTCGAATGAATATTTGAAAATCAATCGTCCCGCGTTTGCGAGATCCGCTCCACGTCGTCGTCGCCTCGACGTCGCGTTCGAGGCGAACGGTCGCGCGCGAGAAAACGCCCGTCTCGCGGTCGCGTCGCGTCGTTCGCGCACCCGTCGCGCGCGCGTCGTGCAGTGCGCCGCGCGTCGGTCGCCTCGAGCTGTCTCGTTGTCCAAACGACGAGTCGTGACTCGTCAACGAGTCCCCACGGGCGCACGAGCCGTGCGATGCCCATCGCGGGCGCCGCGCACGCCGACGCGTCTCGTCGCGATGGCGTCCGCGAGCGCGCGCGAGGTGACGCCGTTACCAAAGTATAAGCTCGTGTTCCTGGGCGTGCGTGCGAGCGAGGACGACGCGCGCGCGCGCGATGGGATCGCGCGTCACCCGTTGAAGACGACGACGCGACGACGGTGACTCGAGCGCGCGACCGACTGACGACGCTCGACGGACGCGCAGGATCAATCGGTGGGGAAGACGTCCATCATCTCGCGATTCATGTACGATAAGTTTGATAACTCGTACCAGGCGACGATCGGGATCGATTTCTTGAGCAAGACGATGTACCTGGAGGATCGAACGGTGCGGTTGCAGTTGTGGGACACCGCGGGACAGGAGCGGTTTCGATCGTTGATACCGTCGTACATTCGGGATAGCTCGGTGGCGGTGATCGTGTACGACGTGAGCTCGCGCGCGAGCTTTGAGAATAGCGCGAAGTGGGTCGCGCAGGTGAAGGCGGAGAGAGGCGGCGACGTGATAATCGCCCTGGTGGGGAATAAGATGGATCTGGACGGACGAGAGGTGAGCGTGCAGGAGGGGGAGCAGAAGGCAAAGGACGAGGGGGTGATGTTCATCGAGACGAGCGCCAAGGCTGGGTTTAACGTCAAGGTTTTGTTTCGTAAAATCGCCGCGGCGCTGCCAGGGTTGGAGACGCCGAGACGCGCGGAGGGCGAGGATTTAGTCGAAGTCAAGCTCACGGGACAGCCCGCGGAGTCGAAATCATCGTGTTGTTGAGCTTCGCGGTGTAGAATTTCGCTTAGTCCGCGTAGTCACTTCTTTTAACGGCGTCGATCGAGTCGTAGCGCCGAGTCGCGCACCGCTTCTCGCGCGTCTCATCATCCGTGTAATCGTTCGATCAATCCTCGTCTACGCACTATCGTTACAATCATCTCTACACCCACACTTTTCCCCGTCGTCGCCAACCCTCGACTCAATCGCTTCGCCAATCTATCGACACCGGTCGCACGAGCGGCTTCATCTGCGCCATGTAAATCACCACCCACATGAACCAGCAACAAAACACGCTCGTGAGGTACATGACGTGCAAAAACCTACGAATCGCGCGCGCGCGACGCCCGTCGACGCCGTCAATCACTCGCGAGATCCAACGCTCGAGCGATCGCGACGCGAACCGATCGATCGCGAGACGACGAACGCATCGCAATCACATCACGCACGACTTCCTCTGCGCCGGCGCCGAGCTCTCGACGTGGGCGTAGAACGCGAACCCGAGCGCGGCGAAGACCAAGGTGCCAAAGAACGCGACCATCGTCCCGGGACGTCCACGCGCGCGCGCGTCGCCGTGTGACGTGCGTCATCGAGACGACGAACGCGCATCGAGCCAGAGCGCGACGCGACGACCCGCACGCGCGCGCGATGGGCGCCGATCGACGGTTACTCACCCTGGATGATCTCACGAGTCGACTGCGAGGTGCGACGCGGCGCGCGCGGACGCGACGCGCGCGGGCGAGGAGGAATCCGTCGGTGATTCCGAGAGGACGCGCGAAGACGCGTCGCGGACGAAGACGCGCGGGACGCGAGGGACGATGGACTGACGCGCGCGGTGTGATCACGGTCGCGCGTGCGTCGTAGGGAAGTACATCAGCGTGCGATGGCCCGAGAGCGGGGTGTGGTACGACGCGAGAGTGGAACGGTTCGACGCCAAGACGCGCGTGGCGGCGGTGTACTATCCGGATTCGTTAGGGAACGACGGCGAGGGCGAGCAGGAGGAGTTGAATCTGGCGGACGCGGTGTTGGATGATGAGGTGTCGTGGCCGGTGTTCAAGGATGAGGCGACGGCGCGGGAGGTGATGGCGCGACGAGAGGCGAACGATTTGGCCAGGGATCGAAGGGCCAAGCCGGCGGATACCAAGGCGGCGCGAGCTCGGGCGCAGCAGCTCGCGGAGGAAAAGGTGGTGCGGGACAAGGTTCGGGATAGTGTACGGGAGGCGATGGAGATGGCGACTCGCGAGAACGCGGCGGAGGGTCACGCCGATGACGACATCGGGTCGCCGAGCGACGTCGCTACTGCGGTCGAGGAGGCTTTGTACGCCAAGTGCGGGAGCGTCGATAAGGAGTACCGAACGCGCGCGCGGTCGCTCATGTTCAATCTGAAGGACTTGCACAATCCACAGTTACGCGCGAGAGTGCTCGCGCACGATCTTCGCGCTGAAAGCGTGGTTGGAATGTCACCGCAGGAATTGGCGAGCAAGGAGCTCGTGGAGTGGCGCAAGGCGAGACAGCGCGCGGCGGGTGAGGACGCCTTCATCAAGGGCGCCGCTCTCGAGGATCTCGTCGTGAAGAAGGATGGGAAGAATGAGATTCACGTGGAGATCAAGAGGGACGATCCGCAGGGAACGATCAAGCCTCAGGTTGAACAGACTCCGAGCGCAGAGGATGTCGTCGTCGACGTGGGCCACGAAGAAACTCAAGTCGTGGACGCCGCTTGGGACGCGACGGATGAGCAGGGCGCGGTTTCGGACGCAGACGAAGAAGAAGAAAACGACAACGAGGAAGATGAAGACGAGGAAGAACCAAAGGAGAGCGACGCAGGCGACAACGAGATGCTTTCTTTTGAGAAGTTCGTGAATGGCGGCGATCAAGACGAGGAGGAAGAGGAAGAGGAAGAGGAAGAGGAAGAGGAAGCGCCAGCTGAGCCAGAGGAGGATTACGAACCGGAGGACGGGCCAGAGTACGATCCCGAGGCCCCGGTCGACGACGAGGAGGAGTACGAACCGGAGAACGATCCAACGGACGTGCCTTTGCCGAACGGAGCGTGGGAAGGAGCAATTGACATCGCCGGCATGACGTCTCTGTACGTGCGTGCGGTACCCATCGGTGGTGAAGGCGCTTCGGTCGGCGATATCATGCCGGAGTCCATCACCGTCAAGGGGCGCGTCGATTACAAATCCATGCAATCGTTCGTGAAGCAGGTGCATCGATCGTCCACGTCTCGTGCGGTGACGCTGGTGCACGTCTCCAGCGCGCCGAGCGGCGGAGACGCCGCGGAGTCCGCCATGGCGAAGCTCGTCAAGCAGTACCGCGAGCGCGGTCGATGTGGTGTGGCGAAAACGGATGAGGGCATCGAGCTTTACATCGCGCCTCGAGGCAAGGATGTGGAAAAGGTGATCGTCAGCGTCGGGTTAACCCCGGGACAGGTTTCCCCTTCGACGGGCATGGTCGGCATGTGCATCCATCCTCGCGGCATCGGACCGAACGTACGCGAGAACAAACGCACGCGCGCTCAGATGGAGACGGTCGAGGAGGATTACGAACCAGCTGCACAGTTCATAGACGTCCCGCCGCCGCCCCCACCGCAAATCATGGAGGTTCCTCCTCCACCTCCGCCGCCTCCGCCTCCGGCAGTTGCCGCGGCTCCGGCTCCGGCTCCGGCTTTCGATCCACAACATTTGCAGAGCCTGATCTCAAACGCCTCAAACCTCTTCAGCGGCGCTCCGCCGCCGCCCAAGGGTCAGCTCGTGAACGTTCCGCCGCCGCCTCCAGCCCCGGGTTCGCGTCGATAATCAATTCAACATTAGGAGAAGAAACAGCTTGTTGTTCATCGACGCCTCTGCGCCCTCACAACGCGCCTACCGACCATCTCCACTCGCGATGTCCCACCGCGCTTTCCTCGCGCGCGCGTCCGTCTCGGACGCGAACACCGTGCGGTACTTCGCCTACGGGAGCAATCTCGACCGAGGAACGTTTGAAGGGACGCGCGCGATGAAACCGCGCGCGTCGACCCCGTGCGTCCTCCCTGGCTACCAGCTCGCGTTTAACGTACCCGGGCTCCCGTACGTCGAACCGAGTTTTGCGTCCGTCCGCGTAGCGCCCGCCGACGCGGTGGAGCGGTTCGAGAGGGAGTGTCACGGCGTCGCGCACGAGATCACCGAGGCTGAGTGGGCTCGGCTCGTCGCGACGGAGGGTTCGTACGACGTCGTCGACGTCGATTGCGTCGGGTACGACGGTGCGGTGCTGAAGTGTCGAACGTTAACGCACAGAACGATGAAAAATTTCGGTGAGCGAGCGCCGAGCGCGCGATACGCAAATTTGTTGCGAAACGGAAGTCGTTTTCATGGACTGGACGCGGAGTGGATCGAGTATTTGGACGCGTTGGAGGTATTCGAGCCGGTGGATTTAGACCCGATGCAGCGAGTGGCGCTGGCGATGTCGGTGGGGCCGACTTTGTTGGCGGCGGCACCGATCGCGACGGCGGCAGCGGGGAAGCAGATCGCGAATGGGGATGGGAGACGCGCCGTGATCGACGCTTTTTTGGAGACGCAAGACGTCGCGTGGCGCGTGCAAAACGAGTTCTTTGAGCCGTGGATCAAGGGTAATCGGAAGTAGCTAGGATCTAGATTGTATTATGAAAGTGCGAGTATTAGTCGGAGTAATCGTCCGGGTTCGATATGACGTGTTTGCTCGGCTGTTTTGGGGCGTCGCTCTGCGGTCTGTACCGTTTCTTGGTGCCTCGGCGCTTTGCCAAGAACTCCGCCGCGCGCTTGAGGACTTCCTCGTTACCCGATTCGGACGTTTTCGCGCGCTCAGCGAGCGTCTCCGTCCAGTTCTCGGGTGCAGGGATGAGTCTGGCGAAGGTGAGGTAGGCCGTGTGCGACTGCAAACGTTGCTGCGGGTGCGCGACGACGGTTTCCGTCAACGTGCTCGCCGAGTCCTCCGTCGCCCCGTCACGCGGACGCTTTTGATCTTTCCGCCACCCGCCCTTGGTCTCCTTACTGAGCGGCGCCGATAAATCCGTCTGTAAACACCTCCCCTCGACGTCGTAGTGTCGCCCTAAGAGCTCCACCGTCTTGATGTCGGCGAATCCGTGCTTCTTCATCTCCACTATCGTCTTGTGCACCTGCTCGATGCACGGCGAAAACGTGCACAAAACCCCGTTCGGGCGCAACGACCGCGCTACGCTTGCCACGCACTTTTGCGGACCTGGTAAATCTAAAAACACCGCGTCCGCAGTCGAGGCTAACTCTTCCGGGAATCCATCCCGCTCGATGTCCCGGTGCGTCACCGTCGTCACTTCGTCAATTCCGTTCGCTCTAAACTCCTCCTCCGCCGCCTTTACTCGTGTCTCATTAAACTCAAACGTCCACACCTTCCCCGTCGGAGCGACACACCGCGCCAACGCGTGCGTCAACGATCCCGACCCCGTTCCACTCTCTAAAACCGTCGATCCAGGTCTCAATTCCATCTCGGCGCTCACCAGCGCGATGTCCGGCGCGTAGAGAATCTGCGTTCGGTGCGCGAGCACCTTCGTCCATAACTCGGGCGTCGGCGCGCACACGTGCACGAACCCGCGTCCATCGCTCGCTCGTATCTTTGTTCCGAACGCGACGCCCACGAGCGCGGCGTGCGGGAACCGTCCGTGCCGTGAGACGAAGGTTTCGCCGATGCGAATGCGTTGGGCGACGGCGGCGTTGAATCCCTCGACGACGACGACGAGGTCGTTCTCCCGTATCAGACGCTCGCGATCGGTCTCGGGCGCGGGAGACGCGTAGAGCATCGTGCCTCGGACGTGGGACATCGTCAGTGGGCGGAGAGAGGCGTACGGGGCGGCGAGGGATGAGGCGTCGCGAGGCGGCGGCTGCGGAACGTCCTCGCGGCGACGTCGAGTTACATCAACTTATCCCATCTCTTGCGCGCGTTCTCGGGCGCTTGGTCGAGGACGAACTCGCGAAGCTCTAAAAATGTTCGCGGACCGAGTTTCAGACGTCGACCGCCGTCGACGCGCGAGAGCCAACGTTCGTCGACGAGTTGGTTGAGCGCCGCCTCCTTGTCCGTCTTGCTCATCTTTTGCACCGTCTGCGTCTGCTTCTCGAGCTGGGTCAGCTGCGTGTCCCCGTCTCGCGTCGCCTGCGTCGGTTGGAGTTCGGTGTAGTTGAGCGCCGTCATGAACTCCACCCCTCGATCAGCGCTCTCGTCGTCGCGCAAGATTTCATCCAACGTCACGCGAAAGAGCGCGATTTCCTCGGGCGACAGGCGCGTCGCCAGTTTCGCCACCTCCGTCGCCCCCTCGTTCACCACCGCCATGTACGTCTTCCCGTCGTCCTCATACTTCACCGTGCGTATGTTCAAATCGCAAAACCGCAACGCGATCGCCACGTCGCCCCAAAATTTGGAGAACGCGTTCGCTTCCGAATCCTCTTCGATTTCTCTGCGCGTACGCCATCAAACGCATCGTCAGTCACCCATCGTCTCGATGCGCGCGCGCCCTTTTCGATCCTCTTCGTCGTGGAAGACACCCACGCGCGTCACGGCGTCGACTCGTACGCGCCTGTAAAGCTCCTCTGCGTCGTCCACGACCATCATCCCGCGTGAGAGCAGCGCTTGGAGAAAACACTGTTGCTTCAACGAGAGCGGTTTCGTCGTCGACGTCGTCGGATTCGGCGTCGTCGCGGGCGTCCGGACGTCGGGAGACGAGCCGGTGTCGTCGCGGGCGCGTTTGGTATTTGATCCCATGACGCGAGCGCGGAGAAGTGCGGGGCGAAGGAGTTTCGGTTCGAGACGGTTTGAAAATTGTTGAGCGCGTCGCGGCGGAAGTCTTCATCGGAGACGATGAACAATGGATGGATGGACGACGAACGTGAGGACTTCGGTGAATCTAGGATGAATGTACACACAAGTTATGCGGCGCGGTTGTCCCGGAACGGTCACGTCGAGGGCGGCGCGGGGGGGGGCGGAAGCGCCGCGCGGAGAAACTCTAGAATCGTCTGCGCGGATTCTCCGCCGACGTAAATGCCTCCGCCGACGACGCTGGCGAGGAAGATGGTCTTCATGGTGAGACGGGTGTATCGCCAGTAGTCTTCGGTGGAGTATTTTTGTCCGAAGAGGTACGAGACGAAGATCTCGGTGCCGAGGAGGATCCCGGGCCAGATGACGCCGTAATTTTGCAGCGCCCATCCGAGCGTCGCGGCGTACGGGAAACGACGCCTGTTGGTGACCTGTTCGAGCGAGTTCAGCGAACAGAGCTTTATGTCCGAACCTAATAGTTTCTCGAACGCGTGCGGGTTCCCGACGATGGGTTGATCCGCGTCCTGTTCGCTTCTCAAGAGCGAAACAAACTGTCTGTTCAAGTTGCCGAGTGACGCGACGTTTAGTACGCGTTCAAAGTTTCTGTAATCGACATGCACCGCCCGGAGCTTACGCTTGTTGAGTTGCGCGAACTTTTTATTCAGGTCAAGCATGCTCATCGTGTCCGGTCCAACGGCGTCATACATGCGCAAGGTGAAGTGTCTAGTTTCGTTCTCGGCGAGAATGCGCGACCAGGACTCGCGGGTCCAAATTGGGTCGTTTCCATCACCTCCCAAACTTTGAACCGGCAACTCGCCCACCTCCGTGAGCGCTAAAAATGCCAATCTATTTGCCGCGTCGCTCACTTCGAGCGGCTGCAATGGGGCCGAACCGTCGCCCATTATCGGAGTTAACGGCAGAAGCGTCAAGTCAATCATGTTCAACAAATCGCCGCGCTGACCGACGATTCCCTGATCCTTATCGTACAACATTCCCAGCGCGCACACAGTCACCGGTAATTTCTCCAACCGGGCGAGCGAGAAATCCGCCATCGCCTTCCACCGACTGTACGGTACCTGTCCCGCGCGCTCCGCCTTGGTCGCTTGCGTGCTACTCTGAATAAAGTGTCCGAACCCCAAGTTCTGACACGCCCGCGCCGCAGCCACGGGCGCCTTGTAATTCACGCACATCATCGCGTCAGGCCGTCCGGTCACCGGTCCCGCCAAGCCCGCCAGGTTCACGAACACTGAATTCTCACCAGACATCCCGAGCGACCCGAGCTGGTCCTGCCACGTATCCGCGTCGTGCTGGTAGTAATAATCCACCCTCGACGCCCTGACCGACTTCAACCGCTCCAATCCGTACTTTGCTGTTAATCTTGACATCAGATTCCCAGGCGACGCCGATAACAGGAGCGCCTCTCCCGGATCCACTCCCTCGCGTCTACGAAATTCCTGCGCGTCCAGCACCGCGTCCAGCACGCGCGAGCCCAGAAACCCGGCGGGTCCGCTCAACGCGATCATCTTCGGTTTCGCGCGCAGAATCTGCTCCCCGGCGTCTCGCACGAGATCGCTCGCGGGTGTAGCGCCCACCGCGGCGCTCGCGAACCGTCGCGCGTGCCTCACACGCGACGCCATGAAATGCTGAGTCAGGAAAAATCAGACGGTGCACTTTTCACGACGACGATTTCGTCGTCGTCTCGCCTCGACGACGACTCGCGCGGGAGTTTCGATGGAAAACGACGCGTCGGGGGCGTCGAGCACCCCGCGCGCGACGGTCGAGGCGTCGCGCGCGCGTGCGGCGGTGTGCGGCGCGCGCATGATTAATGAATGGTTGACAGAGAGGCACTCATGGATTGCATCGGACGCGCGAGCGCGCGAACGCGCGCGTTCTTCGGTCGATTCGCGCGATCAGTACGGACGACCGAATCGCGGGCCGCCGGCGCCGGTCGCCGGAGGACCGGTGCCGAATTTCGGACCGGAACCGCGATCGGGACCGCCTCGGCCGCCGCCG